CATAGTTGCTAGATACCATTATTGTAAAATAGGTAGTAGCGGCATTAAATGAATAATTTATGTTTTATGAGAAATCCAAAATTAAAAAAAATAATAATAATAAAAAAAATAATTAGGAATTCGATACGGGAAAAATATGACATACAAATCAAAAAGAAGGCTTTGTTGATGTAAGTATTTATTGAGTCCAATTACGATAAAATTAATACAGGTACTCAGCTGTATTAAAACGAGTATAATAAAACAAAATGGAAAGGAAAACGGTTCCATGATATCTACAATTTTTTAAACTGAAAAAACCAGTTTTCGCACGATGAAATTACTTAATGAGTTAAATGGCAACAAGTGAAAACTGTACATAAACATTCAACAGACAAGAAACGAAAATAAACCTATACTAGGCATTTAAAAATCAAAAGTATGCTGGTTGTTCCAAACACACATAAACCGGGACTAAAATGGTTCCGCAAGTAGAAATTCAGTGTCAGTGCTTCGCCCGACAAATAAATATCACTACAAATTGTACCAATACTACATATAAAATACCTATACACAATTGCTGAAAAAAAAAGTTTGCGGAATGGATGAATCTTATTACGTCTAACTATTCGAATGGCAATGTCTAAGATCAAACACTTTAGATTTGATTAACTTCTGGATAAATTAGATCAATTACTTACTTTGATCGACTGGTATTGGCAAGAGTACCTACATCTCAATTATTTGTCGCCCCTCTGGCGTAAGGGCGCATTTCGATTTCTGCATGAGCCCCAGAAAGCATGGATTCATGCGTAAATCAGGGCTCACGTGGAAATTGAGATAAGCCCTTACGTCAAAGGGGCAACAAACTAAACTTATGAATACTTACTTTATGAAGAAGAACGTAACCGCCAAAGGTCAAGTTCTGAAATAACATTAAAAAACGTGATTCCTTCAACAGTTCTTCATTTTCCTGTTGGAAGGAAATGAAGCAATGCTGTTCACTATAGATGGTGAGCACAGCTAATGAGGCATCGGTCAAAGGATTTCGAGGAGAGGATCGGAAAAATTAGGCAACAAATTATTAAAATTTTGGTGGATACGCCTTTCTCTCACAAAACAGTTAAGTGCTGTCATTTTTAACAATTTTATAACAGAGGCGGTGCTTGATGACGCTATTAAAAATCATAGTTCTTATTATGAGGAAGCACCCTGCGCTGTAGCATCATAAACATGACACTTTTAACGCATCTCGAGTGTGAGTCAACTGTGTAACTTTGAAAACAGAGTTTTGCAAGAGGTTATGATGATTTTACACTGCATAAAACATAATATTCTATGATTTTTGTAAACTTTAGGGTATGCTTGCATCTACCTTAAAATTTTCAAAACCTACAAACTTGTTTCCTTTGTATTTTTAATTTTTTGTAGAGGCAAATCATTGCGATTCTTTGCAAAGATCTATTTTCAAAGTTATACCGTTGACTTCTACTAGAGACTCATTTAAATAGTCCCTCTTACTATGCTATGTTAAGGATCTTCTTGAACCTCCCTTAGTCACTATGTTAACCAAATGGACGTATTTCTGCCAAATGGAACTATGTGCATTAAGACATGAGCCCGGTGACCCATAAGAATATATGCGTAACAGGGCTCACTTCATAATGCATTTGGTTCTGTTTGGCAGGAATACGTCCAAATGTACCCACGGAAAAAAAATTCGCTGATTCAACAATTCAATTGCTAAAAACAGTGAGTGGAATGTTTCAACGCAGATTTTACAACAAAAAAATGCTACTTTAACCACCCCTGTGGTTAAATTAGTTTACAATGTGGTTAAAGTAGCATTTTTTTGTTGTAAAATCTGCGTTGAAACATCTCACTCACTGTTTTTAGCAATTGAATTGTTGAATCAGCAAATTTTTTTTCCGTGAGGAGAGGAGCTGTTTTAATAACAATTGATTACGACCATATAGGACTCTTTTCCGCTCTCGGAATGAAGTTACTTAAAAATAAAAGCGCTTTCGAAATGGGGGAAGAGGACAGGGACTTTTCTGCGACGCGGCAACAGCGGCACGACGTTGCGGCGCAGGGAAAGAGGGGCAGGAGCGGGCGAAAGAAATTATTTTTAACCAAATAATTCAGCGTGACGCTCCTGTGCTTTTGAGGTTTCGCTCGGAGCGGGCGTGCGATGGAGCATGACGGCGTTTCCCAGTCATGTCCGGGGCATTTGAGGGCCCGTTCCGCCGGTAAAATACGCCAGGCAGCCTCATGCTTCTCGACTTGGAGAATTTTTTTCCTCTTACAAAAACTGATCGGGTCCCGGCGCCGACCTAGCTTCTTCCTGCCTGCCAATCCCCTGCACTGAAAAAAAATTCTCGGCGTTTTTACCGAGGTCCGTTGGTACCTTTACCATCTCACTTTTTACTTTCTCGCTCCCATAGGGTAGAGAGGAAGTATTGTCATCCTCCAAGAAAGAAAAAAAAAAAAAAAAAATTGAAATTTCATCATTTCTAGACGTTTTAAGGTCCCAGGAGTAAAAATAACCATACTTGGAAAAATGTGTGTCCGTCCGTCCGACGTCCCCCAAATCTGTCTACAGCGATATCTCAGAATCTATCTGTTCGATTTCATTCAAAATTGGCACAGGACACCGTATCTATGGTCTCCTTATGCACGTCCAACGATTTGGAGGTACGCTAAAATTTGGGGGGGGGGCTACGCTCAATTGTCCATTTTTTTACCAATTATTGATAATTTCCCCAAGACAGACTGGTAAGCTTACCTAAAAACCGGTATTTTTACTGGTTTTTTTTTCAGGTAAGAATACCACTTTTATTGGTAATCAATTCCCGGTAACTTTGCTATTTTATCTCGGTAGCTCTACCACAGTCGATAAAAAAATATTGGCGTTTTTACCAAGGTCCAGTAAAATTACCGAGAACGTTCAATAATTTTACTGAGATTTCTCGGTAAAATTACCAATTCCATAAATGGTAATTATACCAAGAAAAAACTGGGATGAAATAGAACCCTGAATTCTTGGTAATTTTACCCTTTTCTTAGTAAATACACAGAGATTTTTTTTTCAGTGTGGTACAAGAGCGACTGATGCGATCGAGCTTCGCGAAAAAGCTTTTTCTCTTTATTGGGAGGCCCCATATCGAAGGTGAAACTACTAGACCACGTATCTCGTTTGTGGTGTTTAAAAATACTCGCCCCCATTTTATTTTTATGAAGGAGAACAAATCAATATCATTTCTTGCAATTTTTACCGAGTTTTCTTCGAATAGAGAGAGAAAAAAAACTGACATTCTAAAGAATTAACGTTGAGTAGTTTTTCATTAAAAAAAAAGCATGACAGCAAGTCTACAACGTCGCAAATCGAGATGCGTGGTGTGACAGTTTCACCGCCGATGTGGTTTGTATTTCTCCGAGGGAGCTTCAAGGAGGTCTTTTGGCCGTAATTATTGTCGTTCCTCACTCAGCTTCTTTTCTCAGGAACTGGTTTCCGTTTGGTTTACATTCTGATAAAGGGAGGTTTATGGAAATCTTTGGCAAATCATCATAAAAGAAATAATTTGAAGAGATCTCGAGTAAAATTCAAAAATAAAATCTAACTCTGAGATATAAAAGCATAAGAGTAGCGCGTAACGCACAACGTCTGATTGTACGGCGCGAAATTCCTCGCGGATTATTATTTTAAGTATAATTTTTGAAAAATACCGTTTCTAGGGATTTACCACTGGAAACAAATCTCGAGTTGTACGACAAACATGTCCTGTTGTACGTGTAAAAACATTGCTTCCGCTAGCTCTCTAAGAAGTTGTAGCCTCTACTAAATTCAATGGATCCTTCATGCCACATTTGTACTTTTTGACACTGTGTAGCTGCTGAGTTCAATCTCATTTTGGAAGACAGAGGATGAACTAAGCGATTGAAAACAGGCACCAGCTTCATTTTGAATCAGTATAATAATAATCACAGTTAGAAAAGTAAACTAAAATAAACTAAAAAAATAACTAAATTCCTATATAAAAAGAGCACGGGAATGTAGCTTATGGGGGAATGTAAATCACAAATTCTCATGTAAAAAGCCATACATAACACACTCAAAAATATACCTCGTACCCACAATTTTTGTCCCAGGGTTTACGCCGCTGGAAGTCAACGATTGTCGATAACTTACACGCCACGCCACTTGTGATAAAAAGAAAAACATAACATTGGGACCTAAAGAATCGAGGAGACAAGAATACTGATTATTCTTCCATAACTCGAAATAAACGCTTCTTGCAACTCCGTGCTTTGGGCAGTAGCAGCTAAACATATACGTGCAATTATTTGGGAATCGGATAGGCAACTAAACAAACCGCTGGACAAAGCGTGGAGTATCGAAGAGAAATGAAGGCGTTTTGAGCCGAGATCGTGCTTGTGAAGTTTTTTACCGATAAAACCTGAATTTAGTGTGACTGAATGTGCACGTGAATTGAAAAAATAATTCATTAACCGATAAATTTTGATTCGCTTCGATTATTAATTAACTATAGAATCGTCGGTTATCCGGAATTTGGGGCATTTTTCGATAAAAGGGCGTTGGAGACTTCCAATGCTGCTAAGATTGTGCTACGTACTTCTTTAGTTGCAAGTAACTTATCCGACATTTTCGCTATGAATTTTTCCCTGAATCTACTGCGAGTTTTTTCTCATTATCGTGAGGAAGTAAGTCGACTGCGAATGAATATCATCCGTCGTAAACGCTATAACAAATTGCAAAACCTTAGTAGCATTGCAAGCTTCATACGCTCTTTTACTAAAGAAAGCCTCAATTCTATGGATCGTATTCGATACATCGAACAGATGAGACTGTATCGATATCGATTGGTTCAACATGTAAACTTAGCCTCAAAAGTCAATTGATTAATCTTAGGGAACGGGTTTCTTGTGATAGGTTTTTGATTCTGAGTATAAAATGGCAATGAAAAGTGAATGTGCTAAGAATTTTCTCAATTTCAGCTTTTCCTACTTAAATCCTAAAATTTTTGTTTGAGGTGATGTTCTATTGTTTTGAGCCGAACGACACATCAAACCACTATCGAATGCGATCTTAATCAACTAATCAAAAAACTCTAGTTAGTTGTGGTTCTCCTTGAAGGCGGCAAGCGTGTCTACAGGCTGAAGGGTACAGGCGGGCGAGATAGAAGGGACGAGAGCGGTGGAGTTGCAAGGGGGGTCGGTTGTCTTGCGGACGGGCTTCCGTCTCTGGCCCCGCTCGATGAGCCCGTAGGACTTCAACTTCCTGCGGCTATTGAAGTACTTGTCCCAGAGCTTCCCCTTGGCCAGGCACTTGTTGCCGTGGACGTCCTTCTTGTACGGCGTGTAGTAGACCTCCTCCTGCTCGCCGGGGAAGAGGGCGACGATGGCTTTGGCCATGTTGATGAACTGCCGCGACGTGAGCCGCTTGTTGAAGTCGGACTGGAGCTCATAGTTGATGATGACGCTGCTCAGCTTGAGCCGCATGTGGTTGTTGAGCGTCTTGTTGTGGTGGTAGTAGTTGAGGACGGCCAGGCCCTCCTGCGTCGAGTGGAGGATGTGGTCGATGTACTTGGCGTCCATCAGCGGGTCGTTCACCACTTCCCCGAAGAGCACCATGTTCGGCGGGAAGAAGAGTTCTTTCGACGGGGTCACCGCCGAGAACGGCCTCAGGAAGTTCTGCACGTCTTGCAGTTTGTTCGGGCTCTCGGACGAGTTGAAGTACAGAGGATCTTCGTACGCTGCAACAGGAGAGGCTCAATGTTAGCCGAAAACTACGCAACAGGCTGATTGTTGAAATTGGATTGCATTTTGCAAGAAGGGACCAGGAGCACTGCAATGTTGCTAAGAAATGTCCAACTTCGTCCTTTGCAATAGAACGATTGAAATCATGAAAAAATATAAAATTTACAACGTAACTTTCGTCTTAAATTTATAGTTTTTAGCGGGTAAAATAGAAACTGTTTACAGATGATCAGGTTTTTCTTCCAAGACAAAAGAAGTTGCTCAATCGAAGCAACAATGCAATGTTCCAGGTTCCTTTCTGCAAAACGCAATCCAATTGATAGACGAAGCTACAGATGAGGCAGATGAAGAGAAAGTGCCCCCCCCCCTTTTAAATTTCTTGAGTCATGCTTTGCATGTTTTCAGAAACTTGTAAATTATTCCTTATGAATCATTATTGACGGCAAAGTAACAAAAAAAAACACAGAAAAATAAATGCTGGCCTTAGAAGCTGTACTTACAGGCTGTATAAACAAACCGTTCGTTCCGGGCTCTCAGGCCGAAAGTTCCGGGTGCTGGCGCCGTCGCTCTGACTGCTCCGGGTTCGCAAGCCGTAGAATCGGGTGTTACATCCGGAATTTCCGACTTCTGAGCTTGGATTGGACGGTGAATCTATACAGCTCGTAAGTACAGCTTTCGACTTTAGAAGCTTCCAGGTTTACTGAAAGTTTATTTTTCATATAATTCCTCTATTATAAAATAATGGAGGAAACAAAACGATGAATTCCCTTTAGTTGGATTCAAAATGCGAGAGAATCATGAGTAGTCCTTCTTTATTCCAAATACTGTCTTTCCCTCACAAAAGGTTCATTGTCTTCCAATTACTTATCTATCTTCAGACACACTCTTTTATGAAATAAATGAGATGATGAGGAGAACTTACAATCCAGTTGTTTGGATTTTCTGATCAGATAATGAGAAGAAATATTTTTTTTAAAGTAAAATTTTAAATTTTATTCTCACTAATTTTAAGTACATTTCGTTTTTTGGGGGGAAATACATTTGCCCCGAGAACTTGCCCCTTATGAATACAATGGTATTCATACTTGGGGCAACTTTGACGGGTCCAAGGGGGAAAAATATTAACAGTCAATTGTCAATATTTAATTAACTGTTAATTGGAAGAGAGGAGAGATGGGGACTCTCCAACGGCGTTTCTTTTTCGGTCCGGTCTTTTTCGCCGAGGAGCTATTATACTGCCGTGGTAAGGAAGAACGCCGTATGAACATTCGAGAGTTGCCAAATTTCCTTCGATTAAATGTTAATTTTATAGGAAAGTTTTGAATATGTTTTCTTGAAATTTTCATGGACTTCACGTAAAATTGCGAACAAAATTACCTGAAAAATTGGAAGAAAAATATTCTTGCATTCACCAGGAAATTAATGTTTTATTAAAGGAAATTTGGCAACGCCTGAAGGTTCATACGGCGTTTTTTCTTAGCACGGCAGTATAGGAGAATGATACTCGGATATAAAATAAGGTTTGCGGATGGAGCTCTTGCATGCGCCACAGATTTGCGATCCGAGTACTATTGTAATCGTAAATTTTCGCAAAAAGCACGATGATGCCACTGGTTAAACTCCCAAGCTCAAAAGAGGGCTCTGAAAGTTGAGGGAGTATTGGAGGGGATCCCCCACGCTACGCTGTGAGTCCACCTAGTCAAACTCGCCATTTACACAGCTAAGGAGCAAATACATTGCCAACTTTGCCAATGATTAGTTCCCTATCTGCGTATGGAGAGTTTGACTAAATACAGAGATGATCTCTTTGCTGCGTAGCTTGAAGATCCTCTCCATTCCAGCCGTAACTTTAAGAGATTTTTTTGAACTTGGGAGTTCGTTTCAGAGAAAACCAGTGACACCATTGTGTTCCTCGCGAAACTCAATTTACAAAAAATTACTCGAATCGCAAATCCCTTACGCATGTCAAAGCTCTGTTTCAAGATAAAAAATGAAGTCTCACAGTTGAAAAACGATGCTTATGGTTTGTAAGAATGGACTAGGACTTGGTGTTTCCTCATGTTGCCAGCTTGAGAGAACTTCTTCCCGCAAAACCGGCACTCGTGGGCGGGCTCTTTGCCGCACTCGACCCTCAAATGAAAGACGAGGCTCTGCTTGTGCTTGTACCGCCTGTGACAGGAGGGGCATTCATGAAAGCTCTGAGATTGAGAGAAATTGTAGGAGGTTGTCAGCAGGTCTACGAAGCTTTGATGGTGACTCGCCGGCGAAAAATCCTGTAATTCGCGTCGTGAGAGGGACGCTTTTGAACTGGCTTCAGATGACCCATTGCGGCTCAACCTCTGAAAATTCCGCACTTCCCTGAAATGGTTACCTAGAACAATGAATTCCACAAAACAAGTTAGCCTCGATCTTTTCGTTTCGGGATGCCGATTTCGTATTTCAGTGAATCTATTGGATGGGTTGAAATCGAAGATGAGAGAAGACGGAGGAGGGGATGGTACCCAAAAACGCAAACCTCAACAGTGAGAGATGCATGGCCCAACGCAAAGGGAGTGTGTCGAGACTTACCCCAAAAGCGCGAATACATTGATAAATGAAAACTTATAACTAAACACATACATGCTTTTTGGCAACGCCTTACCTACGATTTTATGTGGAAACAGGGAGGAACTTCAAAGCGGCTTCTTTTAAGTCTTTTATCATGGGGTCGTTTCAGGTGGCAAATCATTTTTTCTGAAACATAGTTTCCTAATGCAAGTTTTCCTAATTCTCTTTTCCAACTCGTTTTTTGTCCCATCACAGTTAGTCCTACATGTGAGATGTCCTACTGGCTTTTTTCCTAGGGGAATTTGTCCCAAATTCAATTTTAAAAAACAACATAGGTACCTCATAAGTTGAAGTTGTGGCCGCATGCCCGCAAGTACAGGGCCGGATTTACCTACTTGCCGCCCCCTTCTCATTATTTTTGAAACATCAATGAAAACCATCAAATGAACGTGCCAGCGGGGAAGGGGTGCATAAGACGCGTTTACTGGTATTGAACACACTCTTTGGGAAAGCCCCGTCAACACTACTAGCAAAAGTTCACGGAACTTTGCGCGAAAGTTAAGTTACGTAAAACTCTCTCTGTGTGGACAAGGCCTTCCATTCATAAGAAATGAACGAAAAAATTATGAAAGAACCAAAATAAATGTGGATTAATGATTTTAACTTCCGCCGCCGCGCCTCGCAGACCGCGCTGTGTTTGACGCAATGCGTGAAGTATTCACGCAGTCTTGTAGGCGCTATGCGTCTCACGCTGATCGCACTGTGTTTGCCGCAATACGTGAGGTATTCATGCATTCTTGTAGAATCCACATTTATTCTGATAATTCATCCATTTCGGATCTAGAAGTTAAGATTTGCCATGTTGCTGAATGATGTATAAATTGAGTTACAAGGGTTTGCAGATGCTTCAGAGCAGGCACGGTATGCATCTATTTACTTTCGATTAATGCATAAAACGAGATTTAATGTCATCTTTTGATCGCAAATTCATCAGTTGCACCTCTTCACTCAATATTCATTCCAAGATTGGAACTATATGCAACTAGGTATAATTTTATCCAGGTTACTGCCTCAACTCGTAACTGCGGTGTGTTTAGAATTTGTATTAATTGGGCATTTTGATTCTAAAACTGCCTTTAGTTAGATTCATGAACTTCCTTCCGTTGGAAAATGTTGTTGCAAACAGATTTGCTGAAATTTAAACACTGAATTTCAATGTATAGTTATATCATATTGAATCTGAGATCCATTCAGCTGGTTCAATTTCGCGGAATTGTTTCTAGGGCTCAGGTAAAAACCTGAAGATTTCTCTCATATTTATCTGGATAAGTCAGTGACGGCAGAAGAGGCTTTGAAAGAGCGACAAATGAATTATGTCTATTATTTACTGTACCTGATTTGGTTCAAAAATCTCCCTATCAAATAAAAAATTAGGAAACATGATAGTTAATGGTCTAGTTTGAGTATATTTTCGATCTTTATGTGATATGCAGGTGTTGAGCATCGATTGCCGCTTTGTCATTTTTCAAAAATCGTAGCTGAATCCCGAATGAATTTTACATTTAGTTACATACTGCAATAAGTCCATAATATGTTAAGAAATAATATCTGAAATAATATTACCTGATAATATATCATTGGTTGCTGATAATGAAACCGTAATTGTATGTGAGTTCACTCACTTTCAGAAAAATTTGTATGAATAATTTTACTGATACGCTGGGAAATCGTCGGGAAAAAGTAAAAGAGAGTAATGAAAATGGAATAATGTTAGTTCTGAAAACGCAGTTAGGTGTTGAATCCCTGCAGGATTCAAAGGGGGCGGCATGTTGCGTCACCGTTACCATAGAAATGCAGTTTTGGACCATCTTTCCAGTGTGCATCAGAGTGGTAGCTTGAGTGGATTTGGATTGTCCTTGCTTCGTACATTTTCTACTTTATCATCCCTTTGAGGTCAAGATATCTTCAGTCTCTTATGTTCAGTATTTGTCATTTCAGTATCTGTCATTAAACTACGTGTGTTCTGTAAGTCAATTGTATTATTTCTTATGGTATTATTGCACTAAAGCTCATGTTCTTAGCACGAGATTGGAGGGGGAGATAACCTCATCTTTTTTGGTCCCCCTCCAATCTCGTGCTAAGAACATGAGCTTTAGTGCAATAATACCATAAGAAATAATACAATTGACTTACAGAACACACGTAGTTTAATGACAGATACTGAAATGACAAATACTGAACATAAGAGACTGAAGATATCTTGACCTCAAAGGGATGATAAAGTAGAAAATGTACGAAGCAAAGACAATCAAAATCCACTCAAGCTACCACTCTGATGCACACTGGAAAGATGGTCAAAAACTGCATTTCTATGGTAACGGTGACGCAACAGGCGCTATCCGTTTCACGCTGTCCGCAATGACCGCACTATGTTTGATGCAATGCGTGAAGTATTCGTGCAGTCTCGTAGGCGCTAATATGTGTTACATGCCGATCGCCGCGCCGAGGGCTTCTCCTTTTCATCTCAAGTCCTCGTCATCATTTCTCTCTAGGTAAGTCGCGCCGCGCGCCGTTCCAGGCCAAATTGCGTGTTTGGTTTCTCTCTTAACTCGACTAATTAAAGGTGCTGTCTCTTGTATCACTGAAAGACGACAAAAGTAGAAATTACTATACTCTCAGGAAATGAGAGATTTTGTAGCCTTTTCTCGTTTGTAATTTTTTTTTCTAAATCCGATTTTTTTTTTTTACACCTACATTTAAAAAAATTGCAAAATTTGCCGCCCCCTTCATTTGCCGCCATGGGCCGCCCCCCCCCCTTAATACGGCCCTGCGCAAGTAGTGAGGCTTCTTCCTCTTCCTTGTTTTGAGGGTATGGAAGACTCAGATTGTGCTGTCTCCTGTCCACGCGCTTATATTCGGCTCGCTGAGGAAATTTTACACATTCTGAAACATCTCCCTCTGCTCAACTCATGTTTACGTTTCAATTATTATTGGATTGAGATAAACACCTTTAGGAAAAAAGCCAGTGGAACATCTCACTTGTAGGACTTACTGTAATGGGACAAAAAACGAGTAGGAAAAAAGTAATTAAAAAACCTGATGTGGTAGAAATTTTTTTTAGGAATAATGACCTAGCACCTTAGTTCCAATTGAGAATGGGTATGTAATTAGCTCGAAACGTCCTGGGTGTGTTTATATTCTGTTTGTCAGCCTTATAAACCCATATGTTGTTTATTTATTGTATTTTATGGTTAATCTACAGTTCTGACGAAAATGATTCGAAAGTTGATTTGACATTCAACAACTACAGATAAAGGTATGTTTCAAGAATTTAAATATAAATCAAATTATGCTAATATTAATAAATTGATAATTATAAAAAACGCAATGCGTTTGAAACTCCGTCAACCGCATACCTAACAAATATGAGTGTGTGCGCAGGCGGGAAAGAAGAGCCGAATTTAGGGAGAGGCCACATGTGCAGCGACATATGGCGACCAATTTTTGGGGCCAGCAAATTAAGAAAACACGGCGGTATAGACTTCTAAAATTCTCACAATTTATTTTTTTTTTTTGGGGGNGGGGGCTATTCAAACCGTCAAAGATCATCTCTTTCGATACAGGGACGACGAACTTTAGTCGGTCTAAGGCGGCAAACTTGTAAATCCCCCCTCCCGCACCTATACGCCTAAGGATTCAAAATTTTCCTTCTTATGCTAACTTCTATGATGTCAAACAAATATATGCAAATAATACAAGTTTTGAATAAATAAAATCGACGGACTTCAAAGCAAAACTTTAATTTATTCGAGGCGTATAAAGAAAGGTGGTCGCATTTCGAGTTGAGCCGCCATTTTAAAGGCTGTTACGCGCAGTGCGTACGAAATGCGACCACCATTCTTTATCCGCCTTCAAATTTTTGGCTTGAAAAAAAAAATAAATAAATAAATTAATGAATGAATGAATAAATAAATAAATAAATAAATAAAAATGGAGAAATACTGGTGTGAGAATAAGCATCCAAGATTCCAAGCGGAGGATCAAAGACGGTTCCCGAGATTTGCACCGCAAACTCGAAAATTCAACAGAACCTTGGCATTACGAAGAGAGGGGCGAGTGGGGTGTAAATCTGTAGCAGTGAGCTGCAAAGCCAAGGAACGACAGGTGTTAGGTGTTACTGCCGCGCCGTGATATTAGGGCTCGTTTAATAAGTCATAAAACGTAGAGTACGAGTGGTGCGATCTACCGAGTAACTACCGCACTACTGTGTCACCGACCGTCACAGACAAGCCACGCTTGTGAAGGATGTACTAACTCTTGCGGACAAGATCTCAACTACTTCCTGAGAGTACTGCATTGCCGTTCCGCCGAATTCATTAGAATTTATGAGATACATACTCAGGGTGTCTACTAAAACAGGCCGGCCAAAAATCAGTACTTTTGCAGTGCTTTATCGGTACATTCCCGAGAAATTCAATACTTTTTCAGTACCTTCATTGGACGAGATTCGAAGAATTTCAAAAATTTGAATTTCTCCCTCAAATTGCGACAAAATAGACCAAAAAAAAAAAAAAAAAAAAAAAAAACCGAATAAAATTCCGGACCCTCTTGCAGAACTTCTGGACGGACCCTAAAAAACAGTGCTATATCCGGACTTTCCGGCCTTGGAGACACCCTGATACTCCATTTTTATGGATTTTAAAAGATAGAGACATTCAGAATATTGACTATATTTGACTAAGTTGGTTATAGATGGTTCTTCTCTTCAGGTTTTGGTGCATTTGCCGATGGACTTCAGGGGAAGAAGGGTAGGGGAGCAGACTTATTGGCAACAGTGTGAGTTCACGCTTGAGTTGATTCGTTTCAAATGATGAATTTGTCGAACGCTCAAGAGCACAACCTTATGATACACCACTGGTCTACGAACCATGGATAAATACGGGTGTAAACGCTTTATCCGAGG